GAATACCTTGCTGAAGGTACTGGGAGCCCCTCCCTCTGCTGTTTGTCCGGACAGGGATTCGGTCCAACCGCAGTGAGCGGTCATTGGGCGGAGGACAACTTTGGTTTGTAATTCACATTTAGGGGAGTATAAAATTAGAAACATACATATTGTTAAGTCTGTATTTGGCTACAGCCTCTGCCCTGATGCCACACACCGTCTGTCAATGCAGTTATGTTTTGCCCAATTAGATTGATTGACAGGCTGCACCATGCGAAGAGAGGAAAGTGGGCGTTTCTTGTGTTCTAATGTTTGTTTTTCAGATGAAAGATAAACTGCACCTGCTTCAGGGATAACACAGTAGTATGGATCATAAGGAAAATGAGCCTCTACTTTGGCACCAAAGCCCACAATATGAATTGAGGACGATCCGGGAGGAACAACAGGATTGGAACAGTAATCTACACACACACAGATGCATGTTTTATACTTTGGACCACGACCAACAGAGGGGAGTATTGTATTGTCATAGGTGGTCATGGTCCTTAACCTTCTAAATCATTAGAAAGAAGTGTAAAACATATATTTACAAGAACAAATAAATAATAGAAAGGGCAGCCTAAAAAAGCAAAATGGGAAAATTATTAAGTAATTTTCGGAGTTGCCAAAATGAAATAAAATTCTATATTTGTCCCATAGGGGGTCATTCTAAATTTAGTGTTGTGCAAATTTAAAAGGAGAAATAATAGCGCTTATAACATCAAACAGATCTACTCTTTAAGATAATAGATCATACAATAATAGAATAGAATGAAATAGTCTGGAGCTATAATGTCATTGGATTCGAGGAGCTATAGGTTGAAAGGTCGCTAGGAAGAGGTGTCAGAATAAACAATAGTAATAATAGTTAGACTAGTGAATAATCAAAATAGTTCTATTGTGGAAATAAGTATCAATAAGGTCAAATTGTTCTAATAACTAAAGTAAAAAGGAATCAAATGGAGTCAGATTTTAGATGTTTTCTGTTTTCCACATCTGTAGGAACTGGTGCAGAGGTGTTTATAGAGAGTAGTATTAAAATGCAGACATAGAACGACAGGCTTTAACACAATTTTAAATCTAAAAATAGCTCAAATATAACATTGCTCTTGACGCAGCCTCTGAGCTGCTCCATTGGAGAACAGGTTAAATGTTATTGTTTATTACAAACAGCTGATGTATTTACACATATTAAGTTTGGGACAACTCTTTAAACAGTTATAAGCAGTGGACAGAAGCCATGAATGTGCTTTTGTTTATTAAATAATTAATTTCATAGCCTTATAATCGTAGAGAACGTTTTAAAATAGTTAAAATCCCTTTCAGGCAACTTGATTTAGATGTATGTCTTTAATATTGGAGAACGACTGTGTTGTTTTTGGAATTGTCTGAAATACAATACATAGAATAGTGATTTGCAGAACAAGAACCAGCCAATGAAAAATCGTCTATTGCCAATGCAATTGTTACAATCAGAACTCAAAAATTGGGAATATGCTTTGGCTCAAACTACAACCAAGATTTGGAGTCACAATAGAGTGTAAAATAGATAGATGCTTTCAAAAATAGAGATTATTTTTAGACAGGGCCAATATCAAACGGTAAAAAGACCATTTCCTTCATATTATGTCCAAAAGTAGTTACTTCAAAAGTAGATAATGTTCATGAGTGTAGCCTAGATTAATGTAGCTTAGATTTAATGAGATAGATTAGAACCAACAGAGATTCAAAAACATTTAAAAGCATTTTGGTTAATTTGAATATAGCACAAAAGTAGATATTTAGGTATTTTTGAGAATTTTAAGAGCTGTCGATTTGTCAGCAACAGATTAGAGAATCAAAATACCGTTGTATAGGGACTGACCCCAGAGAAACCTGCTAAAATAGATTAGCTCCTGTAACGATAATACCAATTTGATTAATGATGAAGAATCAGAATGACACAGCGGTGGTCATCAAAGAGTTTTGTGAAGGAATGTTTCGAATGTGGTTTTGTGTTGTATTCTTTCTGTATTGGCTCTTCACAGATATCAAGCCTGAACTAAGCACAAGTATGGATGATAAACGACGATGTGGATTGTGACCTGATTTTTAATCAGGTCAAAAGAGGGAAACTGTTGCATAATTAAAATGTTGTATACTAATGATTTTGAAAATAGGCCCTCTGAAGAATGTGCACGGGGAAAAGCCCCAAGGACAAGGATTGCAAACAGGAATAAAGAGGGTCAAATGGAGAAACTACAATCAGTCATAGAGATACCAACTTTCAAAACGGGACAAATTATTAACTCCAGGAATAAACATTCTTGTCTCTCTGGCGAGGCCAAAAGTCCAAAAACACCATCTGGCTAATCTCTCTCAGGCAGACTGGGAGATTCTCCAAAGGCATTCTGACGCCTCCCAGTGGACACGGGACGCCAGCACACCCGAAAAGAACATTCGGGAGACGCCCACAAGTGACGTCATCAGACGTCTTGATAAAACTGTTGGTTTGAGTTCTGGGGGGAAGGTTAGCGCAGGGGTAGAGGAGAGGGACATATTAGTTTAGGAGAACTTTTTTGTTGAACATTCTGTATCTGATTGTAAAGATAATTAAATGCAGATGTTAAACGTGAAGATCTCTTGTCTCGCTCTTGCATCGATTTTGGATACGTCAGTCAAAGGGAATTATTGACTTCACTGCCTCGTTGAGCGTTATGGGTTCTATTGGGGCTGTGTACCCAATATCTGTTTGCGGAGTTGGAGTTGATGGGACCTCCCCTCTGACCTCAGAATCTGTGGCATATGGCAAGAACAAGGCACTGAGTGGAACAGCCTTTTCTTTTCATAATGGAACAAAACAATATAATAAAGAAGAAAAAAAGTAAAGACATGAGTCGGTCTTAAACCTTAACATATTATCTGTGTGTTCAAGCGCTCACAGTTATGATAATAATGATGATAAATACAAACCTAAAATAAATATTATTTTTAAAGTTTGTTTCATGCTTTTCTTGAAGCCTTGACTTGAGCTGTGCTTTTAACATAGCATCCATCTATTGTTGTAGTATGGCAACAGGCACAGCCCTTGAAGAGGTTCCAGATGGAGTGGTTTACAAGATCACGACTTATTCTGATTTTGTTAATATTGTTTTCATTATTATATATTACCTTTTATAATCACACAGTTGTATATGTGTGTATGTGTCCACTGTAATATGAATGACTAGATTCAGAATGTTGCACAAAGATGAGGAGGATGGTGACTCACACTGCTCTCTACTGGACAAATGTGTGTAATGTGTCTCCTGGAGATGGCAGTGCTTCAGAATATGTTATGTGTGAAGACAATGGTGACCAAGGATGACTGTTTATGAAATGTTACCGAAAGGATTAATTTGAACATGGACATGTATTGTGGTTGTATTCATTTACAAAGATCAAAAATTAAATTAATCAATGTGCAAATTGTTCAGTAAAATGTATTATGTTGTCATATTTAGTGAATACAAAGTTGTACGTAATGAGTTTCCATTATTCCTCTTCCTCTGTCTGACTTCCATCCATTCCATCGTAAGGATGTTTCTGTACAGAATCATTTGACCTGAATGATTCTGTATGGAATCATTGGGATGAAGGCTCTGCAGAGAGGACGTGGAATAGGGATGTAAATCGGTGACCGTTTAACCGGTGGTTGACCGTCACAGCGTTAACCGGTCAAAGCTGTCGGTTAAAAAAGAGAAAAGGGGGAGAGGGGAGGTCTCTTCATAACGCTATTTTAAGCCCTATTTGCACGATGTGACGAGCGGGTCCCTATCTAGCTGTGTGCGCCAATGTAACAGTAAACTCTGGGCCGACTCTCACGCCGTACGCGCCACATATGCACACACACACATTCCCCCCCCCCCCCCCCCCCTCCATTGACACGTAACATCCACACGCATCATCTCCCCCCTCTGTTACCGCCTGTTAGTTGCACACTGGTGCGGGTCAGAACTACATTGGAGCTTATATTTACACACACATACATACATGTATTGCACACACACACATAGCTTACATATACATGCACACAGACATATACACACATACATACATGTATTGTACACACACACACATACCGGTCTGTCGCGCTCCTCTGTGTCACGGAGCCCAAAGCATTCTTGCAAATGCACGGCTCCAGTCAAACCACATGGACCATGTTTGTGCTGCTGGTCCTTGGCATCAGCTCCACACTGATCACTTTTAAACTTTAGCGGAGACCTGCGAGACGCGGCTCGTCACTCGCTGCCCTGACCATGTGGACGAGCTGTCTTTTGCTTAAAAATGCTTTAAGCCGCAGCACAGAAGAATGCGAAGATTAAAACAGCAGTTCTCTGTGCGCAAAGGTGCCGAAGCTGTTGCGGGTTTTGGTGCCGCTGTCTCGGCTCTGATCCAGTAGAACGCTCAGCTGCACATATGAAAAGTACGCGGCTCGAAATGGCTGTTATTTCAAAGAACGTGGACTATTTTAAACTACGCGGTTAACCGGTTTCAACCGGTTAATGAGGCTCGGTGGTCGGTCATGAAAATTCATAGTTTTTTACATCCCTAACGTGGAAGACTGTGGACTTGAGTGCATTGAAGTTTCACTTTAGCGTTTTTTGTGTCTATAATTCTTTTTAAGAAAATATTTTCATCAGGTTAAGACAATTTATGACCAATTTTCCGTTGAATTTATTTTATTTATTTATTTATTTGGTATGGACATAGCTATAGCATTGGACAAACCAGATACATTGTTTTTAGTGTTATAGCAAGACTGCTAATTTGCAACACCTGTCCATAAAAGGCTAGGAGAAGTGTGTGTCCTATGTGTTTGAGCCACAGGGCATTCACTGAAGGATTATTACCTTTAAATCGTCTTTTTAATCCATGTCCCCCATGAACCCTGGACCCCGACTAACGGGATTAAACACAACAAAACTGACCCAAAGCACTCTGAATGCTATCCAGGGAGTGAATCAGACCTTTAGCTTTGCCCACTCACCGGGCTGGTTTGGATCTTCCTGCGGTGTACTTCTCCTCCGATGCTGTGGACGTTGGTGCGGCTGCGTTTGCTGACCCGGGGCCTGCGGTGTCTGTTGCTCCGGTGTGGGCTTGGGTCCAGGCTTTTGTGGCATGGTCGGGGAGCTGCAGCCGATTTTGGACGAGGGTTCTGTGGGCTGCCTGGGGCGTGTTCGATTGTTTGCGGTGGACGATGGTAGCAGGGGACCCTCTTGTGCTGATAGGCGTGCTTCGCCTGGTGCGGACGAGTTGCCCTCGGGTGGTGCTACGCCTGGGATGACTCGTCGGTGCGATGGCTTGGTGCTTCGGTCATCAGCTGACAGCGGGGAGGACGAGACGATCCCCGAAAAACTACAGGTGCAACTATGCCGCCCAGGCCTGTCGCAAGGGGGGTGCGAGGCCCTGTGCGAACTTGAAACGCAAGGCCCTGCCCTGACACCTTTTTCCCAGATCTCAGGAAAGTTTTTCATGTTATAATATTTGACATGAATTCAGCACCGCCTCGCGCTGTGCGTGAAGAGATCAGCACGCGCGCAGACGTGTGTCCTCGCTCCAATGCAGCGTCGCACGCACACACGCACGCACCCACACACAAACTGTTACCGCGCTTGGCATTGGTATATCGGTCGCGGTCTTTTTAGCTGACATGTCTCTTTCGTCCTGTGGCAAAATAGCAGCAACTCAAAAGATTGAACGAAAAGGAGTCTTCTTCTTTTTCTAATTGTTAGATTACGGCAAAATGCGCCAAAATGGCTATGAGGCGGAGTCAATATTTGTTATTTTTTTCCTCATCAAATAACGTTTTTGCCATGCCTCCACACTCACAACATACGCTCCTTCTCCTGCTCCTCCTCCTCCACACACTCTGACCACATTTTTATGCCCAAAATCCACTGCACTCACAGTAGCATGAACGTTGGACATACAGTGTTTGCTAATGCTTTTATAATATGTTTTTGATGTGGATATTCGGGCTCAACATTGACAATAACAGCGCTCACACACCTGTTTCGCAGCTCCTCCTCTTCCTCCTCTGGTCACACTCCTCTCTCCTCCTCCTCATACGGAAGACGCGAGTATCCATCTCTCCGTACACTGGGCTCATTCCCGTTACTTTCTTCACTCAGACACTGCTAAAGTTATCTGACAGCTCCGTAAAGTTTTTTTTCGGAGGACCCGCTGCGTAGATAGCTGCCCTCGCGCCTGCCTGTTTACAAATCGCTTTTGGTGAAAATTTGACTTCACTTGTAATAATGTACTTTTGAACAAAAGAAATCAGAGGTCCAGAGAAAGGGGATTAGGGGTCCGAATTTGGAGCGCAGTCCGCCCTTTGGGGACTCTTGAACTAGTATATTTATTTAATAAAAAATTAAAAAAAGGAAGGATTGCGAGGCCCTGTGTGGTGCGAGGCCCTGTGCGACGGCACAGGTCGCACAGCCCTTCCGACGGGCCTGATGCCGCCTCAACCTGCAACAAAGAAGCCGCACAAACTATGTAGGCCAACGGAACAAAAATACAGGTACTTCCAAACTGTTAACCACGCTAAAGTGATGGAATTGGATCGAAACCTCCTTTGAGGTTATCAAAATATAAAGGTGTCATCTCTCAAAACGCGAGCAAAATTAATACTTGCTGACAGACTCAAATGGATTTTATGGCACGAAAGGACTGTTCAATAATGACGCACGGACTTGGCGGGAAAGTGAAAAGGGAGGAGCAGGAGTGAAAAATCAACACCCACAGGAGATGGATTCTGTTCATCCTTTCCTTGGGACGTTCGTGTGACAACCAATCAGAGAGCAGCAAAGTGGTCACGGGAACATTAGCGGACTGAGCGAGCAGACTGAAAATACTCGTAAACAGCCAAAACAAGACCCACACCAGACTTCACCAGAACTCAAACCAGGGTTGACAATGGGGACTCTGTGCTTGTGAAAATATGCGTTGTCATGCTCCTGTGACCTTATGCAACGGCTTCGAGTGTGTTCGCCGATGCGGAAATTCCGTTTACTAATATGAAAAAACATATGGCGCACCTCCGTGAACACATACTACTGTTATATAAAGCCCGTGGAATGTCTGTGAGCAAAGACACGCTGCAAAGCTGCATATTGGAGAAGATCTGTACACAAGAAGCCGCTAGCATAGCTCTGTTAGCATTAGAGCCGGCCGGCTACTTCCGGTCAGGACGTTCTGGTGTGAAGTCCTCAGCGTCTGAAAACTAGAGAATGCGCGTCTGGTGAACGGGGCTTCCGGGTTTCAGCGTTGGCGGTCTGAAAGCCCCTTAACCCTTTAAGCGCCAAAGTCGCAATATTGCGACAAGCAACATTGCTCACTTAAACAGGCTGTATGTAAAAATGTGGTGCAGAATCTTGTTAATACTTTTCACCAGGGGTTAGTGGACATGTGTGCCTGTAATATGAGCAGCATTTGTGGGTGTGGTTATATTGAAAGTTTTTGAGTAAATTGAGTTCGTAAAACACCTGCGGCGCTGCAGCGCGGAGGCGAAGCAGCAGCGGTAGAGCTGAGAGGAGCGAGAGCAGAGCAGAGGGAGAGAGTGTTTTTTATTTTACTCACGAGGTCTTCAGTACCAGAGAAGTACTTGGTCTGGTATTGGCTCACTCAGATTCAGAGGAGGAAGGCACGCAGGTGTCCAGTGAAGCAGACTCGGACATTATTGGTGACGGGGAGACCGCGCTCCATAGTCCACAATCAGCCCCTGCACAGCGGCTGCTTGTCCTCCGTGTGGCCGCGGTAGAAGCATTCTGTGAACGGCAAGCAGGGGCCGTGGTCGAGGGGACAGGGGCATCATAACACCGGGCATGTGGGAGAAAGTAGCGGGGGTAGACATCCACGGGGAAGACGGGAGACGCGGGAGAAGTCGCGGGAGAGCCGCGGGAAAAAAATACATCGCTAATCGCGTTCACTGCCTTTACCAACAGCGATGATGAGGATCAAGGCAGTTCTTGAGAGAAAATAATCCACAAAAGTGGATCAGAAGTGTTGAAGAGCCTGTTGTATGTTGTTGAGACGATCTGACAAGTTCTGAGCCCATTCATTTCATCTCTGTTTCTAAACGATAAATCCTGGAGCCTCATTTCCACTGAGAAAAACAGTAAGCCCACTACTTCTCTGAAAGGGAAGTATTGAAACCAATCTCAAGATTTCATGACTGTAAACTATAAAGAGTGCAGTCTTGATCACTGAAGGTCTTTGAAAATAATACAATTCCATATGGCCGCGAACCAGTGCTAAAACATTATCTATAATCTGGATCAGGGAATTTATTTCTATCCCAAATTCATTTCATACTAAAGATATTTCACATTGACTGTTTATAGTATTCCCTGATCTCAAATAACTCCCAAGCTACAGCTTTTTGAAGTCTTTATACAATAATTAACATTTTCCAAAATGGCCGCCACCTTGATGACGTCACAATATGCAAATTAGATGACGAATCAACTTCCATCCCAAAGTTTGGTTCAAACTGAAGATATTTCTAATTTACAGTATGCCTTTATCTCAAACCATTTTGAAGTTATAGCCTTTTGAAATCTTGAAATCAAAATTGTTTATTTTCTTGAAAAAACTCTGGCCAATTTTTTTAAGAGCCAATTTTTGTACTGTTACTGCAAAGATCCACATCATACAAATGGGCACACATGAACATCACCCCTCGATCCCTTACACACACGCACGCACACACACACCATACCTTACCCTGCCGCCTATAACAAATACATACATTTTTTTCAAGTTTCAACCCAGTATTCAGTATATAACACAATGACTGTCTTTATTTAACCATGAATCCATGATTCACTCTCTAACGACGTTTAGTAAAAGATAGAGATATGACACATCAATAACTCTTAAGCTGTTTTAGACTTTAGCGCTACCTCCACAAACCCCTTCTGGTTTTTGGTGGCACCATCGAGCTCTCACTGGTGTCCTCTCCTCAAACTGAGGAAAGTGTTGACTGCATCCAGCGACCAAGGAATTGTTTTCCGTTCGGACGTCTTTATGGGTCGAGGCAACGTGTTGTTTTTTATGATTTTCAACAGCTGTCGCAGCAGTTGAAGAGTGATTGACCAATCAGAATTGACCATTGCAGACGTCAGATTGTTTTGGTATCTATTTGGCCTGGCTAGTGGAGTCGAGTCGGCCGTTATTACTTGGGTCAGAGCCACATATGGAATGAATGACAGCGCCACCGCCGAGGTGTTTTTGATGCTTGTCATTTGAAAGCCTGAGAGCCACATGGAACCAGCCAAAGAGCCGTATGAGGCTCACGAGCCGCGGGTTGGCAACCCCCGGCCAAGATAAACATGGAAAACAAAAGCTTAAAGCTATAACATCAGAATATAAATTACATCAACTTACAGAGGGCCCAACTAGACTAACAAAAATAAGCAAAACCCAAATAGACCTATTGTTTACAAATAAGCCAGAAGGCATTACAAAAACCTACTATTTTTTCACTGGGCTGTCCGATCGTAATATCAATATTAATGTCAAGGAAACTGACTGAGAAGCGGCTTCAATATCTTACTAAAAATTCAATAAGTAAGATGACAAAAGGAATTAGAACAATATGATAAGCGTCATCTTGACAATGATATATGCAATGGAGCCAGCACTTAAAATGCAATTACTGTGATATGTTGACAAGTACTGTATCACATGTGGTCCAAAAGTATACAAAGCATATTAAAATGAGAAAAAAACCTCAGGAATTGCCATGGATTACCAGAAAATTATGTCAACTAAAGAAACAAATAGACCTTGCTCGCAAAAAGAAATAACAACAAAACATAAAGTAGCAATATGTAAGATTTTCATGTCAAGTCATCATTAAATGGGCCTAAGCTGTCAAAAGGCATTAATAAAGCATGCTCTTTTCGAATACACAAATTTGTATTTCAAAATTAGTTTTACAGCCCGAAAATCTTTTTTGTTTTCATTTCGATGTCCCGCCCTCTACCGTAATACCAATCAGAAAGTCTGTGATCCGGGTTGCCTGATAAAGTAACATGTGGCCGCAGAACAGAAAAAAAGGTCTCGTTATGATTCTCAAATCATTAATGATAAAACAAGGTGTGCTGTCCTCACAACACGTGAACATGTGAAGCTAGACAGCCAGCAAACGGTAAGAAACTCTGTAGACAAGGATGGCTTTTCTTGTTTTATAGAGAATCTTGTGTTTGGTTCATTGCACCCAAAATTACAAACATCACCATAACTGAAAATACAGAAAAATATGCGTCACTATCAACGGCTGTACACACGAAATTACATAAACAGATATAGCACAAACTTAACACTTGCAGTAGAACAAAAAAAACACTTGTGCGGCCCTAACAATGTGCTTGTGACATTAAATAATACTTACAAAGACGAAAGTTTGCTAAGGCTCAACACAAGAAAGCTCTCACTGCGTTAAATGAGACGTTAGATTACGTGCTTGTACAAGTTACCGAGAGGAAGAAAGATTGTTACAAAAAACAAGACCGCTTACTCTGCGCGGACAGGAAACTGATGTTTTGTAGAGAAGATGTCTTTGTTTTCCCTTATATTTTAGCACAACAAACAAATTTTTGTTTTGTTTTTCAACTTTTTTTATTGAACATTTTTTAACATAAAGACAGATGTTGTTGGGACAAATACAGATACAGTGTCAAGGCATACTCAGTTCTGTCAACCCCCACCCACCCTGACCACCCACCCCACCCACAGGCCAAAAATTAAATTTAAAACAAAAGTTAAAAAATAATAATTAAAAAAAATACAAAAATAATAAATTATAATAATAAAGTAAAGAGAAGAACAGAGAAGAATAAGTATGAAATGTAAGTGTAGATAGATAAGTAGAAATGGTGTTAGATATTCAAGTATCCTCCGGGTCAAGAAGATTCTAAGAGTCAAAATACCTAAGAAAAGGGTCCTATGTAGCATGAAATAATCTGATGGAACCTCTAATAGAAAACTTCAGTTTTTCTTCTTTGAGGTTGTAAAGCACCTCTTGTATCCACCAGGCATGTGAAGGGGGGCGAGAATCTTTCCAGTTAAGTAAGATCAACCTACGAGCTAACAGTGTGGTAAATGCTATGGCTCGCTTCATTCCTTTAGGCAGGTTGGAAGTAGGGGGGATGCCAAAGATTGCAGACATTGGATTGGGAACAACCAGAGAGCCATATGCATCAGTCAGTGATCTAAAAATCCCTGTCCAGAATAGATTCAACTCAGGACATGACCAGAATATGTGTGAATGATTAGCGGGCGAAAGTTTACATCTGCCAAAGGCATCATTTACTGAAGAGTAGATTTTTGCAAGTCGTGAATTGGTGTAATGAGCCCTGTAAACAACTTTGCATTGAATTAGTCTATGACGGGCACAAATGGAAGATGAGTAAACTAAAGCCAGTGCAGATGTCCATTGTTGATCTGTGAATACAATGTTAAGACTCCCCTCCCAAGCTGTTTTAACTGCATTTGCGGGTGTTGAGGTTTCTGACCAAATAAGCTTGTAGAGTGTTGAAATACATCCTCTAAGACTAGGATCAATTACAAGAAGAGAGTCCAATAAGGTTTCTGGAGGG